TAGAGAGCTGGTCTTATGAACGGGGTTTCAAACTGTCAGTAAGCAAAGTCAGCTACATGATGATAACAAATAAAAAGAAGATAAATATAGGAAAATGTCTTATTATATGGACAACCTCTAAAAAAAGTTCGTGAATTTAAATATTTAGGTTTATGGTTAGATAGTTCATACACATGGCAATCACATTTAAAACAGGTGGAAACAAAGTGTAAGAAAGTAATTAATCTAATGAAAGCAGTGGCAGGAAATAACTGAGGAGCAGATAAACAATCACTTTTAAATATCTACAGAGCTCTGACGAGATCGACTATGGATGCATAGTACAGTATATGGAGCAGCAGCAAATGCAACACTACAAAAACTAGACAGACTTCAACCCAGAGCATTACGGGTGTGCACAGCAGCAATCAAGACAACCCCTATTAATGCACTTCTCATAGAAACTGGTGAGACACCGTTAGAAATGAGAAGAACAAAACTATCATTAACTTACTGGGTGAAACTCAACGGAAGTAAAGAAGGAAATCTTGCAGCAATGATAATCCAGAACTGTTGGGAATATAACAAATAAAGAAATGGATTTGGGTGGAAAATAAACAAATCAGCTGAAAAATATGGAATAAAAAATAAAGAATTTGCTCAGATTAATCCAACTAGTATTTTCCCTCCTTGGTTGATTCCAGAAAATAAAGAAGACGTGAAAATTCTTGAAATGAAAAGAGAATGGAAAGTCAATGAAATAGGGGTGAAAACCAGCAAACACATTAGAGAATCATATTCTAATTACTTGGAAATTTGCACAGATGGCTCAAAGAACACAAAGGGATAGGTGGGAATAGGAGTCTATATTCCAGAGTTTTGAAGTTTGTATATCCAAAATAATCTGATCAATTTCAGTTTTCACAGCAGAAATGGTGGCAGTAATATTTAGTCTACAGTGGATATAGGAAGTTAGACCGGACTGGGTGGTGATATGCACTGACTCAAAGGCTGCCATAGAAAGCCTTCAGTCTAAAGGAAACAATAGAAAAGATCTGCTTCTAGAAATACAGCTCACATTATTCAGGTTAGGGAGGTATGGGCGTTCACTTTGTTAGGTGCCAGCACACGAGGGGGTGGAAGGAAATGAAAGAGCAGATAAACTCACTAAAAAAGCGTTGAAAGGCGAAATAACAGTTAATATTCCATTAGGGAAAGGAGAGGGTAAATCATTAGTTAAAGGAAAAGAAATAGGAAACTGGCAGAAAACGTGGAATGAGGACAAAAAAGTAAGAAGATGACATAAAATTCAAAAAAACAGTTAAGATAAATAATCATAGAGAAAGAAGTAGAAGAGAATATACAAAAACAAAGAAGATTCCAGAATCTGACAGAGATCCAGAAAGAGTGGAATGAGGCGGGAGTGGCAGCTTCAAAAACCACCACATTCAGAGGAGATGGGCTACAACTGTC